CACTTCCACTCCAAAATCCGCTCAGACTTGCCTAACTGTATCGTCTTTCATTCGTCTCGTGTAGGAGGGAGGGGAATCAAGTCGTCATTGGAGTGGTGTTTTTTGTGTAGTGAAGAAGTGTAAGATCGGTAGCCGCCTGTCTCGTACTTGTCTCTCTGGCTATGTTGCTTTAGGCTCTGCTTTTATTTTTTGCCCCCAGTGCTAGTTTGGAATTGCTGATTGCTGCCTGACATACGCCAAAAAATGCCCAGCCCCGCCTCCCCACCCAAAAAAACCGAAAACGCTTTTTGCATTTGGAGGTTTTTTTTGCACCTGTCATTTTTTCATTCGTTTAATGGTGGGTGGAAGAGGCGATTCACTTTTTGATGGTGTAACGGCTGCGACTTGTCATAACAGCGGAGAGAATCCCCCTTCCCACCAACTGACTGCGTGTGTATGTTTCATGGATTGACGGACATTGGCTTACGATTTCTTGGGTGAAACTTTTAGCAGGTGACACCCAGAGATATCGGAGCGTCCACACTTGTCGGTTGACCCACCCCAAAAAAAAACAAAATCAAGTATTCATATGCGTTTCCGGGAATGTTATTCTAATTTGAAGTTTATAAATCGCAAAAAACTGATAACACTACCCGACACCATTTTTCCGCATCGAATTAAATCAACGTTTTTTTTTATATATTTGGGACTTTAAACATGCTTAATGATAATATTTTGTTCTATGGTAGAACTTATTTTTAACGCATTTTTAAAAACTTGTACTTTCTCAGATATTTTTAGAGGAAGCTTTTTTCGCATAACATAAGATCTTACATTTATGTAAGATATATATAATATAATGAACTTTACTTTTTTTATTGATGATGAAGCTAGTATCCCCAAACACTTTGTGGTTTTAACTTACCGTATGGGAATTATTTTAAAATATAAAATGTGCGGTGTTTTTGGCGAAAATGTATCGAAAACTCAGGAAAACTCGGCCAATTTTAGCTCAGCCGTCTCTCAAAAGATTATGATAAGCAATAACTGAATTCATTTAAACAAATGAATATTTATCAAATTCTATCAGATATCCGAAGGAACCCTATGAGACATTGTATGGCTCATGGGTTCTGCCACAGGAAAAAAGCATATTTCTTTTAAAAAATTGAATGTTCCAACGAATAAGTTGGTTTGGTTCGAAGCGTAAAAATAAAACCCGGCACTCAGTACTACATCTGCACCTTAGCGGTTATTTGTCAAATTTTAAATTGTTTCTTCATCTGTCATCTACATCAACAACACTACTCACGCCAACACGCTAATTTAGCAGCACCCTCCCCTAGAGCCAAACACTGCAGAGTCAGGGCAGAGACGCGGCAGAGGCAGAGGCGTGTCTGCGCGAAGCAGAGTGTGAATGAGAGAATGTGCAAAAAACAAATATAAGCTACGGGACGGGGTGGGTTTAGCCACTGGAAATTAATTTCTTCATTGTGGCTATAATAATGATCCAATCGGATCCAAATTTGGTGATCTGATAGATATGGTCATTCCCTACGGAATGGCGCTTTCTCTTTTCTTCAAAACTGTAGGTTTGGGAGGTTTTCGCCCCTTTGCGTGGGCGGAAAGGGGCGAACCTAATTTTTGAAAAACACTGGTTTCAGTGTGAGCATACAGCAGTCTGGAGCCAAATTTTGGGTGCTCTAGCTCTTATAGTCTCTGAGAACTAGCCGACAAACAACACTGACAGACGGACAGACGGACGGACGGATGCTGATCAAGAATATATATACTTTATGGGGTTGGAAACGATTCCTTCTGTGCGTTACATACAACTGTTATTCCACAAATACAATATACCCTATGTACTCTTCGAGTACCGGGTATAAAAAGAAACCCCCCTGGGGTACAAATAATATATATCCTACGGAAAAACTGCAGAGCGGCAACGAGGAACCCCATTAGAAAGACTATAAACTACAAACCTATAAAAAAAGGAAATTAGTAGAGCTAAAAGCGCCTCTTGGCATAAATTCTGCTCAGAGATCGAATAAAATAAAGAAGCCACATGGCTTCGCAAGATTCTCTCGAGAGCGTCCACCTCTACACTTGCAAAAAGGCTATCGGCCTAAATTGGGTTATGAGCCTAAGCATCGTCCAATGGATCTATAGTTAGACTACTACTACTCTACGGATTCACAGTGTGGTATCCTGCACTATCACAAATCAACTGGACAAAGTATATACACACTGGCTCATAGGCACCGCAGCTGCAGACACGAGGAAGAGATGGAAACAGTGGAACACCTGTTCTGCTCCTGCCCGACCCTCAGCACACACTGATATTTCGGGAATATCTACAATCTGTACCAGAAAGATAGCAAACATAATGTTTGCATTAGGATGGAATAATTGCTGACCCCATGTCCACATTGCTGAAATAGGTATCCTGAGGTATCATAACGGGGCGAAGCCGGCTCATGTAGAGCGTGCCGGCCGCTGTAAGCTAACCTAGGTTTTTGATCTAATCTTCAATCTCTTTCGTTTGGTATACCATATGTGTATGTATGTAAACCCTTATGCATGTTGGAATGTGTGTACATGTTTGGTCAATACTTTTTGGCATTCAATATTTAAAAATTCGTATGAAAATGTTTAAAATGTTTACCCAGGGAAATAATTTTCAATACACTTTCCAAAGGAATATATTGCATTAATGTATGTATAGTTTGTATTTATATCCATCATAAAAACCCCATTCCCTAACCATTTCATTTCATATTCAAGCTACAAAACCAAGCAAGACAGTCATATATCTAAGGTTCTCAAATCGACATTAACACACACCCCTTTCCTCTACAGCACACCCGTTTCCACTCTGCGTTAAGAACTATACATATCTATCCATACATATATACATACTATCCACAATATCCACATACAAATTATTCACATAAACAAATATAAATCTTAAAGCAAAAACAACACAACACAACAGAAATTTTAATGCACGTGTGTTAATCATACATTTTAAACATGTTTTAAATGTAAGCAGCCAGCGGTAAAGCTGGGTGAGGGAGTCATAGTCTGCCTGTTGGACAGACCTTTCCTCGAGTCCAACGATAACGAGAAGGGACGTGTGAGACGCTTCTTACGCGACACAACTCTTATACCAGGCACTCAGTACTACATCTGTACCTTAGCGGTTATTTGTCAAATTTTAAATTTTTTCTTCATTGTCATCTACATCTACAACTTCTCACACCAACACGCTCCGTTAGCTCGCCCCCCTTCCCTAGACACACACACTGCAGACTCGCGGCAGAGGCAGAGAACACGCAGAGAACGCGGCCGCACACAAAAAAAAAACCAATAATAAGCTGCGGAACGGGGTGGGTTAAAAGTCGGCAGAGGCAGCGGCAGAGGGAGGGCAGAGGCAGAGGCCGAGTGAAGCAGGAGCAGAGTGTGAATGAGAGAATGTGAAAAGAACAACAAAAGCTGCGGGACAGGGTGGGTTTAGCCACTGCAAATTAATTTATTCATTGTGGCTATAATAATGATCTGATAGATATGGCCATTCCCTACGGAATGGCGTTTTTAGTTTTCTTTTATCTTCAAAATTGTAGGGTTGGGAGGCTTTCGCACTTTTGCGGGGTCGGAAGGGGCGTGGCTCATTTTTGAAATACACTGGTTTCAGTGTGAGCATACAGCAGTCAGAGCCAAAATTTGGTGGCTCTAGCTCTTATAGTCTCTGAGAAATAGCCGACAAACAAGACGGACAGACAGACATGGCTCTATCGACTCGGCTATTGATGCTGATCAAGAATATATATACTTTATGGGGTCGAAAACGCTTCCTTCTGTGCGTTACATACAACCGTTATTCTCACAAATACAATATACCCTATTTACTCTTCGAGTACCGGGTATAAAAACTATCAGAGAACGAGAAGGGACGTGTGAGACGCTTCGTACACATCACAACTCCCCTCCCCCAGATCAGATAGTGTGAGCAACATCGGGTATGGAAGTATGGGGTAGGGGCAACCACTTGACATGAATTTCGCCATTTTGGCAATAATAATGATCCGATCTGATCCTTATTTGGGAACATTTACTACAGAACTGCGTAGTTTTCTCTTCCTATCTTAAAAATTGTGGATATAGCTAATTTTCGATCTTTGACGGGGGTGGAAGGGGGCGGGGCGACATTTGAACATACACTTGAAATCGAATGCAAATCCATCTCGGTGCAAATTTTGGTTGCAGTAGCTTTTATAGTCTCTGATATCCAAGCGCGCATCAAGACGGACGAACAGACAGACATGGGGATATCGACTGGGCTATAGATGCTGATCATGAATATATACTTTATACTTCCACCACACCATTACCACCAATACATATATGCCGTATTGACTCTACGTGTACCGGGTATAAAATGCGGCGGCTCCAAAAAATAAAAGGTAAATCGCAGCAGCAGCAGTTGCGTCAGCTATGTATGTATGTATAATAAACTCATGAAAATATGCCTAAAGCGTGCCTCAAGCGATTTCACCTACAGATGCAAACATACATACAGATATTCACCTATGTATATCTATTTAAGTATCTATGCATATGTACATGTGTATATATGCATACCTACATATGTAGCGCTGGTGGAGGTGTAGCGGGGCATCTTCTCACTTTTTTTTTGCATAGACGCACCCAATTTACGATGCGTACGCGTGAGAGAGAGACTCCAGCTACCACAACTTTGGGTGCATGCCAGTGCGTTCGACTGCCAGATGGGGGAAGAGGTGCTGCATTAGGGGGCCTGCAAGCCGTGGGCGCAGTTCGAAAGCCTATTAAAAGAGCTCTATGGACACTTCAGTGAGAGCTATGTTTTAACGCTGTTGTAATGGGACCACAAATTGCAATTGTTGCGGGGTTTCTGATGCATGACTGCCCGGGCCGCTTGTATCGATGACCGTGCTGTGAATTGGCAAATCGGATTTGTTTTTAGCCGCCAACAGCGCCAAATGTCACAAAATGCCCCCAGCTTCCAACTCTCTGCCCTGGAAATAATGTAAACTTGATGGATGAATTGATGGAGAGACAATAGCAAATACAACATGCAACATGCCACGAGGTATGTTAATATGTACTTCTGGTACGGAATGAATACTTGTGTGTAGTTTCTATGGGAATACGTGTGCATACTGAGGGGAATTCTAGTAGTTAATGCAAAAAGCATTGAAGAAGATATGTCGGTGTTTTTCGTATATTATAATTAAAAGGCTGCATTCTAATGCATTATAGGGATAGGTTTCTAAATATTTGTATCTATAAAGTTATGATACATATTTTTGTATGCCATGGAGTTTCCACTACGGAAATCCTGTTCTACGAGCTATTGTCGTGATCTTTAAAACAGGCACATCCAAGCATCCCGCAGCATCACCATCAATCGAAAAAAGTACATTTATATTAGATTATTGTGGTATAGCCCTGATATACTCCCCAACCATCTGAATTATTCAGCCCATCATCAGCATCAGCCCTTTTGATTTCTACTTTTGGAATCATCGCCACTGCAAACATCATCGCCTCTACATATTTTTCATTCCTCTTCAAAGATTTTTGCACTTTTCATGAATGACCCCACACCATTTAAAATTTCTTGCATTTGTTTCTGGATTCTGCCACACACCAATGATAATTATAAAGCAATTATTTTCGAGCAAAAAAATCCTTTTAATAACATTTCTGCAAATGCCACAACGCTCTCCCAGCAGTAGCAACTTCTCCCTGAGACAATGAACATTTTCGTTTTGAGATTGTGGGTAGGGGTAGGGGAAAATGCATATGTATGTATGTATGTATATGCCATTCGTGAGCAACGGCAAGGCTGTGCGTTGCCAATGTGAAAATGACAGTAACTGTTGGTAATTTGAAGACTACCGGGTACTCGAAGAGTAAATAGGGTTATTGTATTTGTATGTAACACACAGAAGGAAACGTTTCCGACCCCATAAAGTATATATATTCTTGATCAGCATCAATAGCCGAGTCGATTGAACCATGTCTGTCCGTCCGTCCGTCTTTCCGTCTGTCCGTCCGTCTTGTTGAGTTCCTGGATCTCAGAGACCATAAAAACTAGAGCCACCAAATTGTGCATCCAGACTTCTGTATGCTCACACTGTTACAAGTATATTTAAAAAATGAGCCACGCCCCCTTCCGCCCCCGCAAAAGTGCGAAAACCTCTTAAATTTACAATTTTGCAGATAAAAGAAAACTTAAAACGCCATTCCTTAGGGTATGGCCATATCTATCAAATCACCAAATTGGGATCCGATTGGATCATTATTATAGCCAGAATGGAGAACTTAATTTGCAGTGGCTAAACCCACCCTGTCCCGCAGCTTTTGTTGTTCTTTTTACATTCTCTCATTCACACTCTGCTTCTGCTTCACTCGGCCACTGCCTCTGCCGACTTTTAACTAACCCCGTCACGCAGCTTATATTTTTTTTTTTTTTTGTGAGGGGGCGCTGCCTCTGCCTCTGCCTCGTGTCTGCAGTGTGTGGGTCTAGGTGCGTCAGAGCGTGTTGGTGTGAGAACTGTTGTAGAAAGAAAATATGTAAAATTTGACAAAACATCGCTAAGGTGCAGATGTATTACTGAGTGCCGGGTATAAAAGTTGTGACGCGTAAGAAGCGTCTCAAACGTCCCTTCTCGTTGTAAATGTTGTTGGGGGCTTGGTCGCGCTCCAATTTGTTGACAAACCATTTTTATACCCGGTACTCGAAGAGTAAATAGGGGATATTGTATTTGTGTGAATAACGGTTGTATGTAAGATACAGAAGGAAGACACTTCTCATCCATCAGTGTTGTTTTGAAGATAAAAGAAAACGCCATTCCGTAGGGAATGACCATATCTATCAGATCACCAAATTGGGATCCGATTGAATCATTATTATAGACACAATGAAGAAATTAATTTCCAGTGGCTAAACCCACCCAGTCCCGCAGCTTATATTTGTTTTTTGCACATTCTCTCATTCACACTCTGCTTCGCTCAGACACTTCTCTGCGTCTGTCTCTGCCGCGTCTCTGCCCAGACTCTGCAGTGTGTGGCTCTAGGGTGGCGAGCTAAAGGAGCGTGTGGATGTGAGTAGATGATGTTGATGTAGATGACAGAAAGGTGCAGATGTAGTACTGAGTGACGGGTATAAAAGTTGTGACGGGTATAAAGCATCTCAAACGTCCCTTCTCGTTCGTTCTGAGTACTAGGCTTAAGCTTTGAAATGCAAAAATTATGCTTTTTGTGCGTTATTTTTCACGAAAGTTTGATTTTGAAAACTCAGGAAAAGTCGAAATAATATATCCTGTGTACACTATTTTTTTTCAGGTGGGCATCGTTTGAGGTATTGCTCATCAAAATCTATGGAGAGACGGCCAGCAAAAATTATTCAACCAACACTAAAAAAAATTAGAAAAAGTCCAAAAAGAGTACCTGTTGAAGGGTTGCGCGCCCAGCTGCCAGAGAATTTCTGGCCTCACACTCGAAAAATATTGGAAAAGAAAATACTAAAATTGAATAAAAGCCTAAACCATGTCGGTTTTAAGTATTGATCGAGCATTTTAAGCTTAATTTTATAGATGCTTTCATCAGCTTTATAGAATGGCTAAGTTTATTACAACCAGATGTAAGACACTTAAGTTATGTGAAAAAAAGAAGCGCTACCTCTAAAAAAACCGTAACAAAAGAATACCAGACTTTTACTGTTTTTTCAGAGGTAGCGCTTCTTTTTTTCACATAACTTAAGTATCTTACATCTGGTTGTAATAAAAACTCTTAAAAAAACAAGTTCTGCCATAGAAAAAAACCATAATTCTTTAAAAATTTAAAGCGCTCAGTCTATCAGAAAAATGTTGAATTTTGACGAGTAGTGTTATTTGAACTGTAGACAGTAACGGAAAAAAATACTAGGAAATAAAATTTCCAGGCCAGGTGTAGTTTCCCTTTTTTAAAATGACAGAAAACAGTCAGATAGAATGATAAATATAGTATCCAAATCGTTTATTAAAAATTCATCAAAACCAACGCACATTCGTGGCAGGCGCTGAAAGCGCTTCTCGTAGGCCTTTCTTTAGCCGTTTGGAAACTCAATTTCAATTTCTTGCCCCACGCTCTCCCCAACGAAATGACAGCTTCTTTGCCCAGCATCTTCTGCAACTTGCGACTTGGGTGAATTGGCTGCCATAAATCTTCATAGAACATTGTTAACTGCCGGCAACAGTGAATAAAAAATATAAAAATAAAAATTTCATTACAATTTTTTTTCTTCCCAAATTGTTGTTGTTGTTTTTTTTCGCCCTTTCAAAGTACAGAAATGTAATAAATCTTATTCTCGTTAACGTAGCACGACATTTAAGTTTCGTTTTAAATTAGGAGAAAGAACAAAATCAGATAAGATTATAATTAAATGTAGTCAGACGTTCAGGGAGAAGGAAATTGTTGCAGAAGACCGAGATATAGAGTTGTGGGCAGTTCTTTCGGAACTACTCGTATGTACATATGTGCAAAATGGATAGGGAGACTAGGTTAGTAACTATGGTAGAATTTATAAACAAATACTGAGAGCAGTAACAAAAAATATACTTGATGGAAGGTAAAAGTAGTATACAAGGAGTACTCAAAATAATTCTGAAGGATTTTACCATAGAAATGGTAAATACTTGTAAAAAGTTTCCTTTTTATTTCCCAGAAAATAATATTGTAAATATATGTTGTATGCTTGTAAATACTAGTAAAAATACTAGACTGACAAAGTGTCATTAGAATTATATCTAATTAATGGGGAAAACACTAACACTTCTACCAACAACTTGGTGGCGATTGAAAGAGGAAGACCCATGTAGAGGTAGAATTTGTAACCTCTCCACTTCTCAGCGGTTCCACTGATTAATACCCGGTCGAACAAAATAATCAGAAGACAACACCCAAAACATAACAAAAACAAAACAAAACAAAAAAACGAGAGCGGACGTGTGAGACGCTTCTTAAGCGTCACGACTTTTATACCTGGCACTCAGTACAACATCTGGTGCAGATGTTAGCGGTTATATGTCAAATTTTACATTTTTTCTTCATCTGTCATCTACATCAACAACACCACTCACACCAACACGCTCCTTTAGCTCGCCGCCCTTCCCTAGACCATCACACTGCAGACTCGCGGCAAAAGCAGCGCCCGCACACAAAAAAAAATAAATATAAGCTGCTGGACGGGGTGGGTTAAAAGAGGAAAGAGTCATCGGCAGGAGGAGGGCAGAGACAGGGGCCGAGTGAAGCAGAAGCAGGGTGTGAATGAGAGAATGTAAAAAGAACAACAAAAGCTGCGGGACAGGGTGGGTTTAGCCACCGGAAATTAATTTCTGAATTGTGGCTATAATAATGATCCAATCGGATCCCAATTTGGCGATCTGATAGATATGGCCATTTCCTACGGAATGGCGTTTTTAGTTTTCTTTTATCTTCAAAATTGTAGATTTGGGTGGTTTTCGCCCTTTTGCGGGGGCGGAAGGGGGCGTGGCTCATTTTTGAAATACACTGGTTTCAGTGTGAGCATACAGCAGTCCGGAGCCAAAATTTGTTGGCTCTAGCTCTTATAGTCTCTGAGAACTAGCCGACGGACAGACAGACTCTATCGACTCGGCTATTGATGCTGATCAAGAATATATATACTTTATGGGGTCAGAAACGTTTCCTTCTGTGCGTTACATACAACCGTTATTCCCCACAAATACAATATACCCTATTTACTCTTCGAGTACCGGGTATAACAACTAGCAGTGCAGTGGTTATGGGGCGATGCGACGGAAAGGCGAATCACTTCAGCTGGTTTGCTGCTACCGCTGCTGCTGTTGCTCACTCTTGTGTGCCATGGTCACGGGGCACGGCCGCAGCTACAGCTTGAGTCTTCAACTGCAACATATTCCCGTTGTGGTGGCAGTGGCTGCTGCGTGCCAATGTTGCATGCAACCGATGATTAAAACGGGGCAAGCTCCCAACTCTTAATTCTTAGGCATTTTCACTGAAATTGTAAAATATAATTTCCAAAGAAATTCTTCCGTCTAGCTTGACTATTTCAATTACTACGTTTCTCTTGTTAATTTATATACCCTTTCACACGTTGTGGGGTATGATGATTTGAAAGAGAGGTCTTGCCATAAAGGGGAGGAAGCATTGGGAGTCTAGAATTGGCTTATATTCAGAGTGTCCTTCTGTTTGATTCTGTGGATGGTGTTGCTGTATTTGACATAGTTTCCCTAAGCTGCCATATGAAAAACGAAGCATTATTTCCACCAATCTTTTAGGGTATCCAGCGTCTCGTTCCTTTTTTTTCCTGCTCTCCATGTGTATTTTTTCGCAACTATATTTACTTTTTGCTTTAATTTTGCATGCACTTTTCATGCGCGACTTCATTTAACTATGGTTTTTGCATGATTACACTACTCGACACGATTTTGCCGCTTCGATCCAAACAAACTTTTTATGAACGTTTTTTATAATAATAATTTTCTTTTTCTATGGTAGAACTTTTTTTTTTTAATTTTTAAAATCTGTTTTTTTAAAGCTTTTTTAGAGGTAGTGCTTATTTTTTTCACACAACTCAAGTATTTTACATCTGGTTGTAATAAACTTAGTCATTCTTTAAAGCCTATTAATGCATATATAAAGTGTAGCCAAACACTTTGTGGTTTTAGCTCACCGTTTGGGAAATATTTAGCTTTGAAATGCAAAAATTGTGGTTTTTGTGTGGTATTTTTTACGACATTTTGACTTTAAAAAGTCGGGGAAAGTAAAAAAAAAGATATCACGTGTCCACTATTTTTTTATGAATCGTCAATCTATGGAGATACGGCTGAGCTAAAATTGTTCAACCAATCCTAAAAACCAAACAAAACCGTATTTTTCTGTTAAATACCGACATAGTTTAGGATTTTTTGAACTTTAGTATTTTTTAGGATTCTTCGAGGCTGAAGCCAAAAATACTCCGGCAGTTGGCAGCGCAACCCTCCAACAGGGTTGGTAGATGCATTCATTACCATTCAAGAATGACTTATTTATTACAACCAGATGTAAGACACTTAAGTTATGTGAAAAAAGAAGCGCTACCTCTAAAAAACCGTTACAAAAATATACCAGACATTGAAAAATTCTTAAAAAAAAAAAGTTCGACAATAGAAAAAAACCATAATTCTTTAAACAAATGTAAAGCTCTCAGTCTATCAGAAAAATTAGGTTTGGTTCGAAACGGACAAAAAAAGTTGGATTTTGTCGAGTAGTGTTATTGCTCCAGATACATGAACAACAACAACAGCAGCAGGTACTTCAGGAGGCCAAGTAAAAGTTATGTTGAACAAACTGCAACAACTAAAAAATATGTGCATTGGTCTAGGCCAAAGGCAAAAGAAGGTGCAGCAATGCAGATCGTCTCGCTGTGTATTGTACGAGTTAAAGAAACATAGTTCTCATTGTCCAAATACATATACATATATGTATATTCGACAAAAATGGTAATCGAAAGGTGTATCCTCTTCGTGCTAGGATATTTCTTTATTATATCTCATTTACTGCCGTGCAAGATTCTTTAAGATTTGAGTTCTTATCATGCTTTGTAGTTCCTCTAGCACCACGAAAATTTGGATTAGTGTTCAGCATAATCTGGGATCTTCTAGAAAAACAATCATATCCTTCTTCTATCCAAAAGTCAACCCTGGCTGAAGGTATTCCACATACATTTTCTGGTAAGCTCTCTCACATTTTCATGGCCATTTACTTTCGGAAAATTGCCTGCACTGTTGAATAACGTAGACCTCCAGCTCTTAATTAAACGTACAAATGCTGCAGCTTAAAAGGAGCGAAGCGACTCTTACTGATTTTACATTTTGACGTTTTCCTTTTTATACCCGGTACTCGAAGAGTAAATAGGGTATATTGTATTTGTGGGGAAAAATGGATATGTAAAGCAGAAAACGAAATGTTTCCGACCTCATAAAGTATATATTCTTGAGCAGCATCAATAGCCGTGTCCGTCTGTCCGTTCTTAAGAGCGCCTAGTATTCAGAGACCACAAGACTATCTCTTGTATCGACCAAGTTTTGCATCCAGACTTTTGTATGTTCATACTGTTAGAAGTGTATTTCAAAATTTCGCCCCGGAGAGAAAATTTGCGGAACCCACAATTTTTAAGATAAGTTCATACTATCTTGCCACTCTCCGCCTTAAACACAGCATTCAGTAGGGAAGGACCATATCTATCAGATCACCGAATTGGGATTAGATTGGACTACTAATATAGCCAGAATAAAGAAATTAATTTTCCGTCCAGCTCTGCTTCGTGCAGTGTGAGGCTCTAGGGGAGGTGGGCGAGCTAAAAGAGCGGTTTGGCATGAGAAGTGATGTAGATGTAGTCGTCATATATAGAACAAATCTAAAATTTGAAAAACCAGTAAGGTGTAAAAGTTGTGACGCTTAAGAAGCGTCTCACACGTCCCTTCTCGTTTTTATTTTTATTATTGTTTTTTTTTTATCGTTTGAGGGAAACTCGCTCACTAGCTCGCTCGATCGGGCCTCACCTGCTCCTCGTTATCTGCAGTATTTATGTCATCGTTAAATTTGGCTTCCAGCTGCATTTACTTGGACTCGAAATTGCTTCGAGCTAGGAATAGTCTAGAGAAAAACAAAAGACTTTCTTCCCCAGTTTAGTAGTAATTGCCTTCTTCAAAATTCAGGATAAGTTTGATTGACAAATTCCCGCGTCCCACATGAGAGAGAGAGAGAGAGAGAGAGAGAGAGGAAGAAATACGTGGAAAATGGACCATGGACCGTATCCTATTTACGGTTCGAGAAGATCCCCTTTAAAAAGCCACATTGAAAACTCATTTTCCCCCTAAAATGAATGCTAATCCCTGCTGCAAGAAAAGCCTTCTTTCAGATTAACTCTTGAAATCTGGAGACGGCAACAGGTGTAAATGATTACTTAGTTGCCTGCCACATGATGTGGTGCTGCTAGTGCTGGCTGTGGTTGTTCCCCCGCCGGTCAATAGCGTCGTCCGCTGAATTGCGTTCTAAACAATTTCAAGAAGAAAACTGGTTGGTTGGTTGCCTCGTTGCCTCGTGTCGTCGTATTAAAGTAAATTTGCATGGCAAAAAATAACTCAAACTAAAAACGAAAAATAAATGAAATACTTTAAAAAGTGCCTAAGGCGCCAACATGACTTGAAACATTTCTTGCGGGGCCATGAGAATGAACTTTTCTTGCCAAGAAAATATACATTTCCAATAGTTGACCCAATTGAAGCGATAGCTAGAGATAGAATGATAGATATGTAGGTTAGACAGAGAACGAGAGAGAGAGTTAAGGGCGACAGCAATCACTATATTATGATCAACGGATCTTGGATGTTTCAGAAATGACTTTACAGCTTTTCAGTAAAAGTTTTTCCACCACAAATGAGGCGGCAGAACCTTTCCAATACGATCGATTGCCCGTTCGGGACAAAACAAAAAAATCTCTGGGCCTAAATGACAATCGATTAAGGTCAACATTTGGCTTTGCCGCACTCAGCTGCTGCTGTGCTGCTGATGCGAAAGTTGCAACGCCCAGCAGCATCAGTCGCAGTTGCAACAGCAGCAAAGTGGCGCCCCAAAGTATAACCTCGAATGGCAGCCAAGCGTAGAGCTACATGATCATGATCATGGTTGAGTGCAAGAAAGAGTTAGCAGAATGGAGCATGGCCGAGTGGCGCAACGGCGTCTTGGGACGACAACGATTTGCCTGACCAGCCGATGGCTGCGTGTGGCGATCCTCAAATCGGAATACAGTTCATAGATCCACACAAAAGAGGAAAACAAAAATTGGAGCAACACACAGAAAGACACACCCTGAAACAGGCAATGCCGCCGCAATAACTTCTTCAGTACCAACTTCTGCTCTGCTTCACAGCTGCTCGCAGTCATGCAAGCGATTTTTCCGGTGCATCTATTCACTGAGTAGAGTGGACTGGCACTGGCAGGGGGTGGTAAGGCCTGCAAATGGATCTTGGTTTGGGTTTGGGTATAACTCCCATGCCATCCCATCCCAGTGGCTGGCTGGCTGGCTGGCTGGCTGGCTGGCATAGTGAACCATTTAATCATTTGACCATGAAATTTGCATAAACCAATAAATCCGAGAGAATTGGTTGTTTTTTCCCATTGGCTTTTCTGAGATTACTCTATTCAAGAGGTTTGCGCATAATAAAAATAAAAAAGCAAAGGAAAATGTGATAAATATTGCTCTGCGAGATAAGACGGCGTCGAAAGACAAGTGCCTGACACTCCTACCGATCAAGTGGGATTTAGCTACATAGCTTTAGGGAAAAATATATTAAAACTTGTTTGACTTTTGAATGGAGACTTTGAGGCTGAGTAGGCCGCGGGTAAAACGCGTCCTGTTCGACGTTCGACGACGCCCGTTTGATTGGTACGCTTTGATCTCCGCCATATTCAGTCCCTTAAATGATAGAGGTCGTACAGAAGGGATATCGCATTGCCATCGCAGCCATCGGCGACAACGGTCATCAGGTTGTGATCCAGGTTTCGCTTCTGCAGCCGCTTTAGCATCTTCTTTAAGGCGCTGAGGATCTCCATGTTTTCCATCTGTTGGACTCTCAGCGACGCCACAGTCGGTCTGCTGTCAACCAAAAAATCGGCTTCCTGTAGTCCTCCAGGAGTACAAATAGGTTTGATTTTCCCTCGCTCCAGTTTCCGTTTCTGGTTGGGCTGCCTAACATGGTTGTACGTCTCATTGATGTCCCTTCTTCGTGCTCGGTGCCCTCAGTTCAATATTGCTATTCGAAAAGGGAGTACTGAACCTATTCTAGTCCAATATATATATACATAGCTCGAATCATTTTGGATTTTGGCGATTTTCTTAAAAAACCTTTATTTGCTGTGATTTTACATGAGCTTTGGTGACAACAGACCTATAGTCTCTGAAAACGAGGCGTCAAACAAGACAGACGGACATACAGATAAACAGACAGACTATTGACATACCAATCGGAACCAATTCTATATTTGCACTTTAAAAGTTGATTACGAAATCGAGGATGTGATTCAGATCCCATTTCAGATCCAGAAGAGCTTCAGAGAACATTTCGATAGGTAATTTGGACTTTTCAAAGTCTTTTCAAAATCTGAAAAACGTACACTAGCTTTTCTAGAGCCCCCAATTGCTGATAATTTCTCTCAATCGTCGACGACAGAATGAAGGATCAAAGCAAAGGCACGGAGCAAAAAATGCCAAAGAGTCGTACAATGCACAATCGCAAAATTCAGCCGAAGCTTGACATCCAGCTTCACCGACGCCGCCACCACCTCGATAGAGTCATCCGGTATGAAACATTTGATTCAGAATTTGATCCAGAATAGATACAAACCAATGCCTTCCCTTGTGTTTCTATGTCAGGACAAACGGCTTCGTGCATTGAATTATCACATCGCTGATAGTAAGTATTGCATATGAAATACAAATAAAACCGCCCATTTCAAAAATCGATACCGAATCATTTTTTTGCAGCTCTTGTGGACAATTTTGGTTAAATACCAGCATTTGGTATTTGTTGGTATTTGACAACATGGTGCCACTTTTCCCACTGGCGCCAAATAATAAAATTGCCGTTGATGTTCTTAAAACTGCCGTCGGTGGTTACTTAAATTCCGGGCGGTGCTAAGGAAGCAAGAATTTAATAAATATTTCAATATTTCGGCGCGGCCCGCCAGTTCATTGAATTCAAATTTCCTTATTGCACACTGGCACCATCTACCACGCCCTAGCAGAATCGGAGAAGGCGAAATTTTGTTCACAGTGCCATCTATTAGTCACAATTGAAACTCATACGGGGACCGTGTTACGAAAAACAGGAACAGGTGGCGCTATTGATGTCGAATTAAAGGAAAGAAACACAGCCTGGAAAATAATAAATTATCTGTAGTATTTTTATACTCGATACTCGAAGAGTAAATAGTAATAGGGTATATTGTATTTGTGTGGAAAATTGAATGTACATATGTAACGCAGAGAAGGAAACCTTTTTCTTATATTTTCCACGTTCTCTCTCACTTTGCTTCTTGTAGTGAGCGGCTCTTGGCGAGGGGCGAGCTAACAGAGCGTGTTGGCGTAAGAAGATTTACCTCTAACGATTTAGAGGTAAATGTAGATGACTATGTAGAAACAATTTAAAATGTCAAATGTAAAATGGCAAAAGAACAATAAGATACAGATTAACTAACTGTAATAAAATCGTTTCTTCTTTGAAATTAATGTACCACTGGATTGACTACATTCAAGTTAAGGGTTCAAAAGGAATTTTGAGACATCTGTATAAATATTCCCTATGAAAGAAAGACAGATAGAATTGCGAAAAACCAGTACGAGTAAAAGGGTATAAATCATAATATAAAATGTGCATGAGTAGCAGAAGGAAGCATCAACAAAATAACTAAAACCTATTTATTTCGTTATTAGATTCTGCAGCTTAGTCCATATAGAAACAGATATAGAAATAAAATATACACACAAAAGATCAACTAAGCTTTAAATAGTTCACAAAAACAATGAAAACCATTTAATCCCAAAGTTTAAAAGCCAAAATTGAAAGAATAAGAACCCAGTCTGTGAACTTCCAAAATATAGCAATTACACTCTGTGAACTACCAAGTATTACCTTGAGGCGGTTGTCGGGATTTCACAATCCCGACACACTTAGGCCGGTTTCGACCTAAGCATTATTGTAGATTTAAATATTACCTAATTATTCCCAATATATGTAGGTATGAATGCGGCCTAAACCTTGAAAGCAAAGATTGCTCATTTAAAAAGCGACCAAACACACAGGATGCGAATGCGTAAACATATCAAAAACAAACGCCCCCATTTGTTGTGGTTAGTGAGGCGCATGATTCGTGTCAATATCAAATCTCATTTAATTGTGGTTGCCCCCTCACACATCCAGTGCACAACCTCAGGGCCCACTAAGAAGAACAAGTACATATATCCAAAAACAGTAAAGGTATGGGGTGCTGGCACACGAATGTCACTCAAATTGTGAGGAAATAGGAAAGGGAATGGGGAAATGCGTTCGAGTGTAATGCCGTTTATAAGTCATCACATCGTTGACAACGTTGGGCAAAACCTGGTTGGTTGGTAACCGACTATCGGGAAGCTTTTCACAAATCATTTTCATATTTTTTGTCTATTTTTTTCTTTCTAATTTGGTTTGAAAAATGAAAAAGTTCACCGTTCAACTAACAAGCTCGGGATTTTAATTACTTTTCTACCAGTCATTCCATTCATTTCCACTTGTTGCCCATCAGTTATAAGTCAGTGGATGGAGGATGGAGGGACCCTCCTCTCTCTCCATCGAGAAAATTGTATTTTCCATTTCCATTTTCGGAAATTTCACGTCTGAAAGGATTCGGGCCCGATGTCTATCACATTTTGTGCCCATTACAACTTATTGCTACTACTACTACTGCGGCTACTTTTGATACACTAAATTAACTTGATTCCTACCTCCCTCCCTCGCGCGCACACACGGTAGGACGCGTATTTTATCTGCCGCTTATCTCTCGTCTTTTGTTGATTAATATACTTGCGGTAATTAATTTGCCCATGAATGAAGTGCATTTATATGGTCGAAGGAGGAAAGTGGAAATTACTGTCTGTGGTGTGTCGTGGCGGGGTGAGCTCCTGGCTATCACGAATCTATATGGCATAGGCATAGGGAATGGGGGTAACCTCTATAGACTTGATAAAAGTTATATGATGTGTTAATTAGCTTGAAAGTGTGTGTTGAAAAGGCAAATTTGGGTTAAATGCAATTTTTTAGACTTTTAGTCGACAAATCATTGATGGAGATGGACGATTAAAGAGGTTTAATAACTGAAGGCGCAGCAGTGTATTAGCATAACCCACACATACCGCAATTTTCTAATCTTACTCCATCCATGCTTTTGGATCATAAAAGACAGGGGCATCCGCTGCCCAAAAATCGAGATAGCCTTCTGTAACACCTAACAAAGTATTCCCTTTTGCCTGCTAAAACTTTTCTCATTATAGTACTCGTATCTCCTACCACAACCCCCACATACCACCCCAACCCGAACATCTTGGCACTTCCAAGGGCAGACAAACAGCAGGATTGGAAGAATCTAGCCCCGGGAATCGGCGTTTGCCAATGACTTCCGTCATCCCCGACATACACTCGACGTGTAAATTTGCATTTGCTTCTAATTACAAGAGAGACTGAGAGACAGAAGGAAGGTGGGGTGTACACCTGAGGAGGAGGCGACGGCGGCAAGACACGGCCTGCATCTAAGGAGAAAACTTTGGTAACTGTGGCATCTGCAGCTGTATCTTGCAGCAGTTCTAAAGCCTGGAAGCTTTGCAAGAGCGCTTGCGGCAATTGCAATTTAGAATTTTCAATTATATTTTTTTTTTTTCTTCTTCCTTATGGGGGCCACACAGCACACACACACACACACACACACACACACACACACACACACACACACACACGGGGAAACACTGGAGAGAGCTACAAATCAAGTGCCACGCACGCAAATTTCCTTTAATTAAAACTAAACTTTTAAGAGCCCTCTGCTCCTTCTGCTGCAGAATGCATCCGGCATCTTCCACACCAACGGGGCCAAGGCGACATCATCTTCGAGCGTAGAACAAGGAGAAGGTTGAAGGGGGTGGCGAGGCGTGACGGGGACCAAAGTGCGGGTGCACTTAGGTGATGATTAACTCAGGAGTTTGCTTAGCTGAAGTACAACAATTATATAGGCGGAAATTCAACGTAAGTGGATATGATTGGTGGAAATAATTAGAAACTATAATAGAGAGATAGTAAGAGGCGCAGCTAAGAGTCCGAATAGAATGTATATTCAAAGGATTAATCAGTAGACTGTAACGGACACGGGAGGTGTAGGCTCGTCAGCACTATCTGTTTACTAAGAGGTCCCGGCCTGATTCAAGGAAAATGGGGTGGGTGTTGTGCTGAACAAACTCCGTTACCGAACAAAATCGTAGACAAATTTACGGGAACTTGGATCGAAACTACCCACCCGGACGGAGCTTTAGGTCAATTACCGGAGAGCAATCTGTCAATGCTCTTTCCTCTTGACCCACCCAACCTGAAGAATAGCATAGGAATAGGACATTATGATTCTCTCCAACATCTTCTTCTTCATTCAATATAGCTATAAATTGTACTTTCAATTGTATACATTTAATCACAACGGGCCGAAACCTGACTAAGTGTGTCGGAGTTGTGAAATCTCGAAAACCGCCTCAACCTAACCTAACCTTGTATACATTTCATTTAGTAATAATCTTCATTGGTGTAATATGGGTTTAACCCTTAATGCATACATACATGCATTCCAAAATAACAACCAAATATAATCATAATATACAAAAAAACGAGAAGGTACGTGTGAGACGCTTCTTACCAGTCACAACTTTTATACCCGGCACTCATACTACATCTGCACAAATTTTACATTTTTTCTTCATCTGTCATCTACATCAACAACACTACTCACACCAACACGCTCCTTTAGCTCGCCGCTCCTATAAGCTGCGGGACGGGGTGGGTTAAAAGTCGGCAGAGACTGAGGCAGAGGGACGGCAGAGGCAGAGGCCGAGTGAAGCAGAAGCAGAGTGTGAATGAGAGAGTGTGAAAAGAAGAACAAAAGCTGCGGGGCATGGTGGGTTTATCCACTGCAAATTAATTTCTTCATTCTGACTATAGTAATGATCCAATCGGATCCCAATTTGGCCATTACCTACGGAATGGCGTTTTTAGTTTTATTTATCTTCATTGTAGATTTGGGAGGTTTTATCCCTTTTGCGGGGGCTTAAGGGGGCGTGTCTCATTTTTGAAATACACTTGTAACAGTGTAAGCATACAGAAGTCTAGATGCAAAATTTGGTGGCTCTAGCTTTTATGGTCTCTGAGATCCAGGCACTCAACAAGACGGACGGACAGACGGACGGACGGACGGACAGACAGGCATGGCTCAATCAACTCGGCTATTGATGCTGATCAAGAATATATATACTTTATGGGGTCGGAAACATTTCCTTCTGTGTGTTACATACAACCGTTATTCGCACAAATACAATATGCCCTATTTACTCTTCGAGTACCGGGTATAAAAATGGAAGAATCTTCCCCTCAAACACACACAGATAAATAGTGAAAAAACTGCACCTGAAAAAAAAGTGAAGAATTTTCCCAGAATCTTCACAAAGACAAAAAGAGACTGCAAAATCTTGAACTAAAACAAACGGAAAGAGAGTGTAGTAATTCCAGTGTTATGTCTAAACTCGGAAAATCCATTCCACGAACGCACACAGGCTCATAAAACGACCTTCATAAACTTCTGGCGAATCTCGAGCTGTTTATCGCTGCATTTTCGTTTGTGTTCCCAAAATAGTTGGCGAAAACACATCCATCAACAAGGAGGGACGTGAAAGACGCGTCACGACTTTAATACCCGGTACTCATTTATGCCGCCAAAGCCACCTTCCTGTTGCTCTTGTTGCTGCTGTTGGTGTCCCCAAACCCACCATCGAATCCACCGCCGAAGGCCGAACTCTCCTGCTGCTGTTGTTGCTGCTGCTCGCCAGTGTTCAGTAATCTGTGGTACCTTAGTGGTTTTTTTTCGAACTTTACATTTGACAATTTACATTTTGTATGCATCTTTCATCTACATCTACATAATTTCTCACGCCAATACGATCTTTTAGCTCGCTCCCCTCCACTAGAGCCGCAATTTGGTGGCTCTACCTTTTATAGTCTCTGATACCCAGGCGCTCATCAAGTCGGACGGACACACAGACAGACTGACATAGACTCGGCTATTGATGCTGATCAAAAATATATATATAGTTTGTGGAGTCGGAAATGTTTCCTTCTGTCTGTTACATACATCAAGATACATCCATCGTACACAAATACAATTCACCAATTTACTCTTCGAGTACCGGGTATAAAAAGTATGAAGTGCACTTGACAAAAAATACAGACAGAAAAAAGTGTGTGGAGGAAGAAACTTCGCTCAACCCTGAACGAGTGACAGGGTGTGGGTGTGTGGTAAGGGAGACATTAAAAAAGTTTTCCTAACCCATAATAAAACATATTTGCGCAAAAATATGCAGATGCCAGGAGGAAGTTAGAGAGGACTGCAAGGAAGTTGCCTCCGAAAGTGGGGATAGCAGTAGCAGCAGCACGGGTTGGTTGTTTGGCAGTCAATTGCTCATTGACTTGGCTCAAAAATTGTTGGAGAGAGTTCCAAGTCCTAAGCTCCTGTCAAAATTGCAGCTGTGACGACGACGACGGCGACGACTACGACTATGTGGAAGTGAACACTCGTATGAAGCAGCAGTAGCAGGACGATTTAAGGTGGGCGCAGGAGCAGATGGAGCAAGAGGCTCAGCTCGGTCAGAAGCAAAGTTCATAGCACTAGATAGTATCCCAGAAACCAGCAGCTACTACACTACTTCTGCCTTACTCCAATCTTCTTAAGCAGTTAAAATACCTGGTAGTTTTGATGAAGAAAGGTTATTGTTTTTTGGGAAATAATCTGGGGAAATAGTCAAACTAAGTGTACATTTGCTAAATGTTAAACTTGGCTAAAACAAGCACTTTGGCTGTCTAACTCCTTGCCTGATACATCTCTGTAGTACTCCTAAAAAGAGTTCCACTTCCATTTCTCTACTATCCATTTATTAGGGAGCTTGCAGTCGATGTCTCTTACACTCTTTCTATGTTTTTCTTTTCTTGTGGGCTTTAGTTTCTAGTTAAGTTTTCGTGGAGCGTGGATTTCAAGCTGTGCGCTCACATAAGTTTGCGGCTTAAGCATGTGAAAATCATATGGTTGGAAAGATAGACACACACCCACACTTACACCTCCTTTAAAACTCATTTTTACCTGGATACTGGGGGCATAAAATGCATTGCCTTTCCAGTAGGAACCTTAATAACATCAGACATCGATTTGACGGGGGTGTCAGTGCCGATGGCTGCCGAACGAAAGCCACCGAATAAGTTACCCAAGCCAAAAAGTTTTAAAGGATTAAAAGGTTTGCTAGGTGGGAGTCCTGTTTGACTGTACTCCATTCTATTGCGTTATTCTGTAATCATATATGCTGTCAGCTGAAAGAAAGAAGCTAACAATAAAAAATGACGCTCTAAGACAGAAGGATCCAGTAACAAAATACACAAAATGAAAAACAATTACTTCTTAGTACTTACGAATATTTATTAGACCATCTTCAGCATGTTTATATAGAACCGAACCAAGCACCCATTTTCCATTAGATCCCATATCACGCTTCACTTAAAGCATACTTTAAAGTCTGATTATGTAAAGCTTAAGTCAAACGTCTAATGGAATATAATCTGAACAAAATTATTAACAATTTTCGGTAATTTAAATAAAATTGTAAACAAATTTGAATGCAAGGCGCACTGGGGTACTGTCGTGTCGGGCCACCATCAGGCGCAGTCTGAATATGCTTGCAACATGTGACACGCGACGCGGCACAGGCAGTGTGGCCAGGGTAGAATGGGTCATTAGGCATTTTACTGCAAAGTTAATGGAAATTACTGAACACTTTCATGGGAGAATTTGATGCCCTATGATTAGAGGCAACCATTTCGAGTGTTCTTTTTTAAGATTATAGCAAGTTGCAAGCTAAAGCAAACGCCAAATAAAGTCCTTCAATACAAGGCAATGCCATAAAATGCTGCACACAATATCTTACTTAGAGATACCGTTCTGGGCGGAGGTTACAAACAAATTCAATAAAAATAAAAATAAATTAGCTACAACTAAAAGGGGAAGATAAATTCATTTACCTCTAAATGCGCACCAAAAGGACAACTCCCCCGAAGCTGTGCCAAGGTTAAAAGCCAAAGTTAAGGAGAACACGTATTCGAAAATTTGGTTGCCTCACACAGTCACATACAGACCACCCCTCTTTGGCGTCCCTTTACCCTTTTGCATCTATCTCTGATCTCTGAGCCCCTCTGAATCTATTGGTGGAATTTCGCTTTTGCTTTGGCTCTTGTGTCAAGCGATTGACAACACTTTTGAAATACTGTCGGAGCTCACACAGAAAAAGTGTATCTTTGATAATAACTACGACATGTAATTAACTTACTACAACTTATTTCTCCACACCAATTATAATTCATTTGCGTACTTCCTCAAGGAAGAGCTGAGTCTGTTACAAAATTTACTACATACATGGGGGTTGAGACTGGAAAAGTTCAGGCCTTAACACACTTAGTGTGTTAAAAAACAAAACAACAACTGTTTTAAATACAGATTGAAAAACTATGAAATCCGTATTTATGTGTGGAGCAGGCACGCACCTGCTGCATGTTCAGCGACGTCAACTATAAAACAAAATCAATACAAAAGACTCAACAAAAACAAGAAAAAACTATCTTAAATAAAAGAGAAACGTATTTCTGTCAGTATGGCTGGTCAGTGATCTGCTTAGGAGGGAAGCCCAAAAAACGTCTGGACAGGTGTCTGGGGGCCTTGGGGACAGGTTTACTTCAAACGCGCGCGCGCGCAAAGAACCCAAGAAAGTTAGTCTTGAAACGTATAAATAGAGAACGATTTAAACAGACGCGATTCAGTACTAACGATAGTTTCCAAACGTCTGTAACAAGAAAAGCTCCTAAAACACAATGAAATTTCTGGTTGGTTTCGACTCTTTGACTCTCATGATTACGTTTGATTTTAATACTCGCTACCGCTAGGTGATCGTTTTTGTGGCTCTGTTCGCTTTGGCCAACTGCCTGCCTCAATTTGGTGGATTCGGCGGAGGCTTTGGCGGTGAACAGCAGCAGCAACAGCAACAGCAGAATGTTGGCTTTGGCGGTGGCTTCGGCGGAGTATTCGGTGGCGAGCAGCAGCAACAGCAGCAGCAGGAGAGTTCAGCCTTCGGCGGAGGATTCGGTGGCGGTTTTGGGGGACAGCAGCAGCAGCAACAGGAGCAGCAGGAAGGTGGCTTTGACGGCTTCGGTGGAGGATTCGGTGGTGAGCAGCAGCAACAACAGCAGCAGCAGGAATCAATCTTCTAAGTATTTATACAAAAAATTAAGCTAACTGAGCGTCCGGAAGTGGTTATGTCATTGAAAGTCCCTCTGAGAGATACTTGTTTATCCACCCAAACGTTTTAAGACTACAAAATAAAATAAATAAAAATCAAACAACATTGCTAATGCGTCTGGCCAATGACTCATGATTTCTTTTATGCGAGTGTTCATAAATTAACATTTAATTTGATTAGCACAGAGATAGCAGAGCGAGATTCCAACATTAGAGACAGAAAGCCCGAGAGAGGAACTACGAAAACAACCTGTTTTTATACCCGGTACTCGCAAAGTAAATAGGGTTATTGTATTTTTGAACAAAAGTGGATTTAACGCACAGAAGAAAACGTTTTAGACCCCATAAAGTATAAAAGTATCTTGAGAAGCATCAATAGCCGAGTCTATATCTGTCTGTCTGTCCGTCCGTCTATCCGAATTGCTTGTTGGCTAGATCTCAGAGACTATAAAAGCTAGAGCCACCAAATGTTGCCTCCAGACTGCCCCTTCCAGCAGCTTTACTTATTGTGTTCTCAGTCTCTCATTCTCCTTTGTGAGGTGTGTGGGAGAATTCATGTAGATGAAGGTGACAGATGTAAATAAAATTTAAAATTCGGAAAAGAAACACTAAGGTACAGATATACGGACTGAGTACCGGGTATAAAAGTTGTGACGCTTACGAAGCGTACCACACGTCCCTCCTCGTTATCTATCAATTCGAGGAATCCCCTTAGCACTAGACTGATCCATGACCAGTTTTGACTGTCAAAAATAACGTAGAAAAATGTGAGATAAATGCATAAAGCGAAGCAGTTTATGGAAGTTTTTAGAGCATAGCAGATCGCCAGCGGGAAATCAAATTATAATGCAATTTGTGGCAAGTTCAGTCAACATTTATGCCAAGAAAAAATTTCTAATCTAATGTACCCTTTAGGTGATTGTATTTGTGGCTTTGTTCGCCTTGTCAACGGCTCAGTTTGGTGGACCCTTTGGTGGCATCATAAGGGAATTTGAGCGAGTGGAACAACAGCAACAACAGGGCGGCTTTGGTAACGGCCTACCACAGCAACAGCAACAGCAACAAAAACAAAGCGGCTTTGGTGGCGGCCAGCAGAATCAGGAGCAACAGCAGGAGCAAGGTGTCATTCTGAGAGGTCCCTTTGGCGGTGGCATTGAATTCTTTCAGGGACAACAGCATGAGCAAGAACAGAATGGCGGAGGAGGAGGTCAACAGCAGCAACAGCAGGAGAATCTATTCGATCTGTTTGGTTGAGCTTTTATTTAGCAAAATTTCAATCACCACAACTAGTCATAGCTAGACGCTTTGCACGCGTCACAACTTCACGCTTCACGAAGCATAGTGTGTAGTGAGAGAATGTTCAAAAAATAAATAAAAACTGCTCGACGGGGCGGGGGTAGCGAATACAAATTGATATCTTCATTCTAGCAATAATAATGATCCAACGCAACCCGAATTCGGTATTTGATATGATAGATATGGCCCTTCCATATGGAATTGCGTTTTTATATCCGGTACTCGTAGAGTAAATAGTGTATATTGTATTTGTGCACAAATTTTCGACCCCATAAAATTCTTTATCAACATCAATAGCCGCCGAGTCTATATCTGTCTGCCTCTCTGTCCGTCTTGTTTGTCGGCTAGTTCTCAGAGACTATAAGAGCTAGAGCCACCAAATGTTTACAACAGTCCTCTGCTGTATGCCCACACGGAAACCAGTGTATTTCAAAATTTGAAAAAAACCACTGTCTTACTGAGTGCCGGGTATAAAAGTTTTGACGCTTAAGAAGTGTCTAACACGTTTCTACTCGTTTGATTTCTCTTCAAAATTGTGAATAAACCAGATTTTCGCAGGTTGCCCTTACATATGTACATCCACTTTTGTTTCTATGGTATTTGAGCTTGAGCTCTTCGAGTACCGGGTATACAAAATTACAAAGTATAATAGAAATTTAGAAATGTAAAATGTTCCTAAATCAGTCAGTACTTTTTTGCAGTCCAACGATCCAAAGGTAATTGAATATTAATGCTACTTAAAATTCCATCCATATCTTAGCTTAGGGAGCAGCTTAAAATTTTAATTATATGATTTTTTCTAGCTTGCCGTGAATGCTCACTTGCAGCTGTCCAATTAGATGATCTGTAAGGTATCTTTAAGGTATCGTTAAGCTATCGGTTTCTTGATTACCACATTAACATTAATGAATATTTAATAATGGAATGATCCATAGAGTTTGTAGTTCATCTCTGGAGATAATTTCTTTCCCAAATGTGTGATCACCAAAAGGAAAATAAACGCAGTTATATCTTCAGAATTTTTTAATAACACTACTCGACAAAATCGAACTTTTTTTCCGGTTTGAACCATACCGATTTTAGTCTGGATCGAAGCGGCAAAATCGTGTCGAGTAGTATAATATTTATTTGCGGAATGATCTCCACAGTGGACAGCAGCCTATGTAGGAGATTTCTCCACCTAATATAAACGATGGTTCATTGGTCATAGTTCGTTTCACTGGAAGTAAAAGATTGATACGCTTTAATATGCGCGTAAATCCCTTGCTTCACAAACTTTCCTTTTCCCACGTGAAGAGCCAAAATTAGTTGCAGGACTCCCGTAGTTGCCCAAGTCAAATGAAAACATTACCATTTATGACACCCCAAGGAGTAAACTTTTCGCCCTGTTTTTCCACTCATCTCTCGCTGTTGGAAGATGCCCGTGTTTAGGTTTTGTGTTGGAAAATCGCTACGATGGCCATGACCAATTCTTATGGGAAAAGTTTTTAAGCCAAAAATCGCCAGAAAATTCGAATGAGTGCTATCGTTGAAATCAGGAGAGAGAGAGAGAGAGAGAGAGAGAGAGAGAGAGAGAGAGAGAGAGAGAGAGAAAGGGGATTCCCATCCCGCCACAGCAATTAAGCGGCTAAAAACCCTTTTGGCTTCTTTTCCACGCATTTTCCTGATGACTTCATCTTTGTGTGTGTGGCTGTGGGGCGGAGAGATCCTGCCTCCTCCTCCTCATTTGCTTGGTTTTTGGTTTTTGGGTTTTGTTATTGGAGACAATTTCGTAGCGGATCCACCAAAGCAACACAAACAACACTTGTAACTACCAAACTTTTTATTTGCAATTAAATGCGTAACAAGTTTTAAGTTGTATTGTAAGTGCCACACAGAGGAGACGAACGAAAGAGACAAGAATTTAAAACACTTCGGTGGGGAAGGTCGGTGGGGGTCGGTCGTCTGTCCTCTGCCCAATGTTGTTGCACCAACAATCTCTCTGGTTTCCCAGATGGGAATACTATATATGAAATTGCCATTGCTGTTGTATATCTGCCATCTTCCACATCCCATCTCTGTGTTTCTACTTATCTGCTCATTCTCTCTCTCTCTCTCTGCGTATTTCAAAATTGAGTTGTGCTCTGCTCTTTGGGGCTTTAATTGTTAATTGTTGGCTCCACGCGGTGGTGGCGGCAGGGCACTGTAGGGGGCGAGGGCCACGGAAATTTTGACGATGGCAATCGTTGATGACAGTCGTCGGAGCACAGATATAGAAAGCAGTCTCTCAGTCAGAAGGTTATTGAGGGTCCATAAGCAAAGGAGTTTAGAGCCTTAGAGTGTACGAAGCATTTTATGTTATGGATTAGGGAATTAAATGTGGAAACCCTTAATGAGTTTCTGTGCATGTGTGTGGTTGGGGATTTTATATTAAAATCATCAAGTTAATCGTTGGAGATGGATCTAAGAACTGAGTCGCTTTGATCATAAACTGCACTGATTTTCAGTGAGTTACGTGAGCTTGCAAACTTTGTTTTTATGGGAATACAAGTATTTAAAATGGGTAGGGATAGAAAATCTTTTTTTTTACTCAACTTAAAAATAGCCAAAGCACTACTTATGTGGAAAAAGCCCAAGTTTTGGGAACTAATGTTATTTTGTTGTGTTAAATATTTGAATGCGACTTTGATTTTCTGATTTCTGAATATCAAAAAATAATATAAATTGTAGGAGGCTCTTGGCGAATCAGAAAAAAAGGCACACACTCGGATTCTTATTTAATTGTTCTTAATTTTATTATTTCTTTTTACATACGACCGGTCTGCATGATCATTACAATCTAAGTCCCTTTCTTCCCGCAATCCCGATTACCCGCTTATCGATAGTCCGTAGTGATTTACTTAACCTATTGGTATCTCCACTCGATGTATCGGTGTCGTGGACGATACCAAGATACAAATTAGATTATTCAAAGATATAATGCTTAAAACAAATAACCTGCTACAAAATAGTTTTAGAAAATTTTTACGGAGTACCCTTATTTTTGTGATCATTTTCAAAGTCTGCTGATTAAGAGGAGCTTCGCATTGTAAGAAATGCGGTAAGCATTGAACAATTTGCAGGTTTAATGTTAGCTCGATGCGAAATATTAAACGAGAAGGGACGTGTGAGACGCTTCATACGAGTCACAACTTTTAGACCCGGCACTCAGTACTAGCTAGTACTAACTTTAGCTCGCCGCCCTTCCCTAGACCCACACACTGCAGACTTGCGGCAGAGGCGAATGAGAGAATGTGAAAAAAAAAACAAAAGCTGCGGGACAGGGTGGGTTTAGCCACTGCAAATTCATTTCTTCATTCTGGCTATTATAATGATCCAATCGGATCCCAATTTGGCGATCTGATAGATATGGCCATTCCATACGGAATGTAGATTTGGAAGGTTTTTGCGCTTTTGCGGGGGCGGAAGGGGGCGTGGCTCATTTTAAAAGAAAAACTTGTAACAGTGAACAAATACAATATAAACTATTTAATCTTCGAGTACCGGGTATACAAAAAAAAGTAGATCAATTGTTAATAAATCTATTTTGATAGTTATGTATTGTTATTGAAATATCCAATGTTTTTTTGGTTAATTTGTTTTCACATAAATTTATGTAAGTGTGTTCAGTGGAACATTACTTTTGTCAGCACACCACTTCACGAAGGTTCAATTTACATTTTACACTTCTCGACAAAATCGAACTTTTTTTTCATCAAAGAACCAAACTGACTTTTTCTGATAGTTTCATAACCTATTGTTTTTTTTATGGCAGAACTTTTTTTTAAGAATTTTTATAGTCTTGTATTTTGTACTTAAGGTTTTTTCTGAGGAAGCGGTGTGTTTTTTCACATAACTTAAGTATCTTAGATCTGGTTGTGAAGAACTTTGTTTATCTGAAAAGCTGATTGATGCTTTGTGGTTTTTGTGTCTGTCCACTCTGTCCACTTCGATCGCTAATTTTGTTGGCCACTCTAACACTGTGTCTTTTTAGCTTGGGAAATAACAATTGCAAGTGTTTTCTGTGGTATATTACTTTTGCACAGCACACCACTGCACAGAGGTTCAAGTTACATGTTATTAACAAAATATTATAGAATCACGTGGTTTTAATGCTTTTTGCCCGTTTTTGCCAAAAAAAATCGGGAAGCAGACGCAATACAATTTTATAGTTTAAAGCGTATTGAAGAAGGAAACGTTTCCGACGATATAGTATATATATTCTTGATCAGCATCAATAGCCGAGTCGATTGAGCCATGTCTGTCTGTCCGTCCTCCGTCCGTCTTGTTGAGCGCCTGGATCTCAGAGACCATAAAAGCTAGAGCCACCAAATATTGCATCCAGACTGTTACAAGTGTATTTCAAAAATGAGCCACGCCCCCGAAAAAGGGCGAAAACCCAAATCTACAATTTTGAAGATAAAAGAAAACTAATTCCGTAGGGAATGACCATATCTACCAGATCACCAAATTGGGATCCGATTGGATCATTATTATAGCCACAATGAAGAAATTAATTTCCATTCTTTCATTCACACTCTGCTTCGCGCAGTGTGCGGCCTCTGCGTCTGCCGCGTCTCTGCCTTGGCCGGGACTCTGTAGTGTGTGGGTCTATGGAAGTGCGACGAGCTAAGGAGCTAGTTGGTGTGAGTAGTATTGTTGATATAGATGACAGATGAAGAAAAAATTTGACAAATAACCGCTAAGGTGCAGATGTAGTACTGAGTGCCGGGTATAAAAGTTGTGACGTTGATATGCAATGACAGCACCATCAAGTGGCCCATGCGACACCAAGCAACAGCCTGTTACGAGCGGAACCCAGCAGAACGCAGCCCTCCTGCCGCCCAACCGACCGAGGGGCGCTGCCGCATGACTCGCGGCGCGATTAACCGAACCGGTCGCGAGCATGCAGGAAAGATAGATGTTAGGCTAATATTCGA